CAAGGAGTTCCGATGGGACTACGACTACGTCGAGATTGGCGACCCCATGGACGGTGCTGGCTACAGCATGCTCGACATCTACGAGGAGTTCCAGCCTCACTCCGACTCTGACGACTGGGCCAGCGGCTCTTCCTCATCTTACTCTACTGGTGGCAGGAGCCCCATCGGCGCTCGATCCCCTACCGACGACTCTCAAAGCCTCTGGGAAGGCGACACAGTTGGATCCGATACCGAACACACCCTCCGCAAAGACTAAGACCACGACTATCTACATCTACATCTCTCGCCACAAACTTATACTCATCCCTACGTACGCACATCACCTCACGTCCTCAGGTGACGGCCTTTACGACCTATGCATTGGAGCGGAGTTTTATTGTTTGCGAAGCATTTCAGCGATCCATTCTATAATCATGGATTTGACGGCATAGAATCACTGGCGTCGGCAGAAGACGCTGCAGCATGCATCGGGGAACCACACCATTCTTCTCGTGGATATCCCCTTCTAGCGCCACAGTGCGCGGTTTATTGTACCCCCTTTTTGATACCCAAGTCGGTCGCTTACTTTGGCTTATTGGCACTGTAAAAAACTTTACAGTCGTGTTATATACATTCGCTCCAGCGCCCGGCCGCCGCCCCTTTCTCCTTTTTTTTGAGCGGCTGGATGTCTGCAATAGTGGGATTTGACGATGTTGAGGGCATGAATTGAAGGAAGACAATGCATTTGTTCCAAATGCTGCATTGATCTCACCATCACTATGGGCGGTATGAATGGCTGGTTTGAGCCTACCGCCTCGGAACGGGAATATTATTATTAGTGTAATGCTTAATGGAATGGAAACGGTTAATGAACCAATATCATGGACAACACCGTGCATCAGTTGTAGTGCTGTATCAGTGAACTCAGCAACACTCAGCATGGAACACGGAAGGAGTACTGTTCTTGCGTAGCGGTATAGCCACTATCAGCCCTCGATTTGTATACATGTCACTCGTATCAAGCCATGTTCCCTAGCGCCAGTAGATGCTCACTAGACACACGTTTCGCTAACACAAAACACTTGAACGCACATTTCCCTCCAGGGCGGCTACCTAGAACAAGTCCAACAGGTCCTGGTTGCTCTTCTTGCTTGGCTCGCCGCCTAGTTGCTGTGTTGGTGGAGGGGGCTGGCTTGTTTCCATGCTCATGCTTGCGAATCCATTCATAATATCGTCGTTGCTCATCTGCGTAGCCTGTGCAGGTGCTGCGGCACCACCACCTCCATCTCCAAACAAGCCTAGCAGATCGTCCATGTTTGATTGTTGTTGAGCAGGCGCGTTTACTGCAGGAGAGGCGACACGTTGGGGGGTTCCTGCCAGTCCTTCAAGGCCCGATGAGCCGTGTGTAGGTTGCTTCTGCATTGAAGCGGGCGCAGAGCCGTCAAAATCAATGTCCAAGAGGTTCTCCACATTTGAAGGCGCTTGTCCACTGACTGCTGCCGCTGCTGCTGCCGCTGCAATCGGATTTTCTCTTGCTTCTTCTTGTTGCTCTTCAATGGCAGCTCGTTGCATCGCCTCTGCGCCAAATCTGCCCTGTCCAAGGAAAGCCTCTGGTGGCTTGTGGTACACCGAAGCCAGTGTTGACAGTTCTGTAAGCAGAGTCTCTAATAGCTGAGGAGGCAATGATCGTATTGTGGAAGAGATTGGGGGTTTGTCGGAGAGTACAATTTCCTTGGTGATCTCGGGATCACTGGACAGTAGTCGCCAATAGACGTATGCTCGATCTCGGATATCTGGGTTGTCATTGTCTGCAGTCGCGGCCTGGAGGACCTTCGTCACGAGGCCCTGTGCCTGATCTGGCTTCTTCAAGAAGAGCTTGACAACTGCTGTGAGTATTTGAAGTTGTGTCTGGCGTATGTTAGCTCCTGTAGTACTCCGCCATGCATTTTCAGACATACTTGAGTGAACTCCTCGGCAAATGTGTCGACAAAATTCGACAGGATCTCACCGGCATTGTTAATCTTTTCCGCGTACTCTCCAACGATCCAGATAAGAGATGCTCTGGCGTTTGGCTCGTCCAACTCATCTATGCACTGGCAGAGTGTCGGTATTATGCCTTCATAACCAGGGTATTTGCGGAAGATATCCTTGATGACCACAATCGCCTCCTGAACGACGTAGTTGACTTTAGTGTTGATGAGGTCCAGCAGCGTGTTAACACATTTCTCGCTTGCGCTCTCGATCTTGATCGCGACCTGTCCGATGGCCTTGACTGCTCGTCGCACGAAATCCATATCCACTTCCATGGCGTACTCCTTCAGCTCGGCCAGTAACTGATCGACATTTTTGTCATTTGCTATCCGCACCATTATTTCCAGCTTTTGCATCTTCAGGTACGGCGGGTCATTGTATTTGCAGAAGAAAACGCGCATCTCTTTGCTGAGAATGTCTGGCTGTTTCTGGAGCAGTAGGTCGATGTTCCGGAGCGCAACGTATTGTACTTCAGGAGCAGAAGATACTAGTGTAACTACAGCTTGTTAGTGATGGTCTTTTCTGCCTCTGTCATCAACGTACCTAGTGGTGGAGCCATCTTCTTCGCATACGACTTCATCATCTCGGGAGAGATATTTCGCATATGCAGGAACACAACCTTGACGGCTGCCAAGACGACACTTGGATTGACGTGCTGAAACTGTGGAACAACTCTTTCGCAAATGTGCTCTGCCTCCTTGATATCCACCGGCTTGTAGTCGGCGAGAGTGGTAAGGAGAGTAACTCTTCCCCACTCTGTACACTCGTTCAGCGCCAAAAGCATCTTCTTCAGTTGTTGTGATGAGATGACGAGAGCTTTGGTTTCCGGTGCTGCTTCCTGAATCTCTACCAGTGCAGTGACCGAGTTTGCGACGACCATGGGGTTTGGGTCGCCAACAAGTTCCTGCAGCTGTTCCAGGAAACCGTTCTCAATGCACATGATGGGTGCGAGATCGAAGAGCTTAGCCACGCACAGTGCTGCGGTTTTCCGTACATATGGAGATTCGTCTCTGAGTGTTTTCCGCAAAGGTTCCTCCATGTAGTCAGTCATCTTGTCCACGCGGATGCAGCCCATAGTTCGGATCGCCAATGCTCGTATGAGTGGGTTTGCGTCTTCGGAGTCTTGCACGAAAGTGTTTACGGCGAGAATGCAGAGGTCGGGATGTGATTTTGCGTAGTTCCTGGTGCATGTTGTCAGTTTCCGCTTGATGCGCAGCCTGGTTTGTACGCACATGAGGTATAGATATACCAGCTTCTTCTGGTCAAGGTCCCCTGTTGCAATGTTCTTCAGAACGTCGGGGAAGAGCGCCGAGACATCCTTGCCCAAAGTCATGGACATGATAGTCTTCTGAATGGCTTCTTTCCTGACATCGTCTTAGTATTTGCTCCAAATGCGTCTTATAGTTCCAGGTGCTCACCGTTCGTAGGCATATTGAGAACTAGGGCAATAGTCAGTTATGAACAGCTAAACTGGTTCTTGGGTGATCATACACCAGACCTGCCCTTAATTCAAACGTCTCTCCCTTGCGCGGGGGCGCGAATGCGCCTCTTATCCTGTTGACAGCCATCTTTGTAGGACCGCAGAAGCCAGTCGCTCAGCCAAACCCCTCCGACTCCGGCTCGTAAGGTCTGCAACCTGTGCTGCAAGGGGCGGAGTATTCGAGGCGCAGTCTCTTGAGGTTGTCTACAAGTGTATCTGGAATTCGGCGTCTCTGGGTCGGGCGGCGTTGCAGAGGGATTATGCGGGTTATGTCAATGCTCGTGGAGCTTCGCGATTGCCAGACTGCCACCTTAAGGATATGGTCCGTGCACAATTGGGGCCCCATCCATGTATGGCATCTAGCCCAGCCCGGAAGTGCTTCAACGCTCCCGCTGCGCTCACTATTGCACCAAAACATCAACATGGTAAGTTGAACATAGCAGCCCGTCTGCACGGCAACTCTAATGCGAGATGGCAGCCTTCCAATTTACCGAACCTACGTCGACTGTTCGTTGAGGCGCGTAGCGAGTCCGAGGAGAGCGCGTACTCGAGGAAAGCTGTACGTTCTCTCCAACATTGTCAATCTTGGTAACATCGTCAAGCTGATGCGAACTTAGTTCTACAATCTTGCCATCTTCATGTCGTCAATCGCCGTCTTTAGCTTGGTTGCACAGCGAATGACTTCTGCAAAGGCCATCGGCTGAGCACCTGAAGGGCCAATCACCATATAGCGAAGATCTTGACGAATTGATCTCATCAAAAACAAGCGTAATACTCCTCACACAGCTCAAATGAGTAAGCGATTTCTGGTACCCTTCGTAATGGAGCGACCATGTGGCCGGCGCTTACACGGACAACCATCTCCCTTGGCGCTTGCAACATAGATGTCGCAAAATTAGATGATACATTCTCCAATCAATCTAATACCGGGTGAATCAAACGCGTACCGCAAGTGATTGAGGCGCGGAATGATACCATTCCTCCTATCTATTCCTGGTGTGCATGCATGGGACCCTGAATTGCGGCGAAGCAGCATTACACCGTATCGATAGGAGGACATGGTGCTTCATACTTGTCGACATATACTTCCTGTGAGGTAAGAATCTTCTGTCTTCCAGACATGTTTCATTCCGCGGCCTCGAAATCACCAGAGCAGGAGAACGACACCAAAGGCCGGTCCCGGATCCGAGCATCAACGAACTTCTATGACCGGATCGTAACTGATTGGTGGTGGTGGGAGATACTCAGCTGGATTATTAGTTTCGTCTGTGTGGCGGCTATAGTGGGTGTACTGTGGTATTACGATGGTAGAAGACAGCCAGAACACTTGGTAACAGGCATCACGCTCAACACATACGTTGCAGTCTTTGCTGCGGTTTCAAAAGCAGCATTAATAATGCCTATTTCCGAAGCGATTAGTCAGTTGAAATGGATCTGGTTCCAAGAGGAGGCTGCACTATGGGATTTTCAACTCTTTGACGCCGCCAGTCGTGGGCCTTGGGGTGCGACTATGCTACTTATCAGAACACGATGCAAGTAAGTCCTGGCAACGTACCCAACAGTAGACTTTTACACACTGATACCTATGTAGGCATGTTGTATCCTTGGCTGCCTTGATCACCATACTAGGCTTAGCATTCGAGCCTTTCTTCCAACAAATCGTCACCTATCCCGATCGTATGATGATCGTTGGAGGTGGCTCGACATGGGCCGCATCAACTTTCGTACCCCAATCTCTACCGAGCACTCGCCGGCTTGGTTTTGACAACAATAACAGAGACCCGACAATGACTTTGGCTATCGACACCGTCCTCAACACCCCAGAAATTGCTATGAGACCCTCCACGGCGCAGTGCTCCACGGCGAACTGTACATGGCCTTCGTATGCCACACTTGGCGTCGGTCACACATGTCAAGACGTGTCTGACCTGCTCCAGTATATATGCGAAAACAACACAAAACTAGCCCTGCCACAACAAGTCGTCTCGGCGGTGGATCCCTGTGGCTACAAGGTGAATGATACGTTCGTTACCGGCGTCGAAGGTAATCTCGGTTTTCGCAAGGTGACCAGTTTATCGATGTTGGTAGTCGAAACATTTGATTTTGAATCTAGTGGCAACCACTTCTGGAACACCACAGCTTTTCACAATTCGACTCTACCTATCTTGGATTTCTATATCGCTTATACGCCAGGAGGTCCAGAAGCGGCGCTCAGAAACCAAACACCGGTATTGCTGGAATGTTTACTCACATGTAAGTAAAGTCGCGTCTCCAGGTCGCATGCATCGTCAGCTGATGCGAGTGATTGATTAGGGAATGTCCATACTATTGATTCCCGCATTGTCAATGGTATGCTACAGGAAAGGGTACTAGATACTGTCGTCGTACAGCCCCAGTCATTGGACAATAGCACCACCTGGCCTATAACCGCTAGTTTGGGCTCGAACAACACATTCCAAATTCTCAATGGAACCACTCAACTCCTCCGCGATTGGATCTTGTCGGATTTCCCCTTTTATCTGAATCAAGATCCTGCATACGATTTTGAGCTCTACTCTGGCATGTGGAACTTTCATCAGATCCCGCCCTACGACTTCGAGAGCCATATCTCCAACCTTACGAAAGCTATAACAAACGACATGAAATCACGGTCTTCTGGTATGAGGCTCATAGAAGGAATAGCGTGGAGCTCGGAACGTTTTGTGAAGATCCGCTGGGCCTGGATCACGTTGCCCGCCGTATCGCTCGTAGGAAGCTTGGTATTAATATTTGCAACGATTGTACAAGGAAGAAGGACCAAGGCGCCGCTATGGAAATCATCTTCTTTGGCCACATTACTACATGGCTTGTCGGAAGAGACCAGAAACCTCGTGGATCCAGATCTGTCTCCCAGTCAAGTTGAAGCCATGTCCGCAAGATTAAGGGTACGACTTTCGTCTCGGAGTGGAAACGTGCGGTTGATAGCATGAAGACGAAAACAGCCTGGTCGTCTATTTACAATTATTCGGGAATCTGGTTCGGCCTGTCACGCCTTTGGAGGGCTGCACCTGCACGCTTGATTTCTGCTTTCTTGATGCATAAAACTGCGTCATAAGATCCTTCCACTTCACACTCCATACCCATGTCTTTCGTTCCTCGTCCCAGCTTAGGTATCCAGGCACAGGCATTGCTATGCCCGTCAGCTGGTTCCGAGTGAAGTGCACCCATGCCGTAGCTGCCTGTAGTCGTTCTAGTGGCAGCACAGAAGTGTTTTTGAGTTCTTCGACGCTTATTACGTTCGTTCCTTCTTTGAGTACACTCGGCGAACGGAACAGGGCAAATCTTTCATCGGCATTGAGGCCGTCGAACGACATGCTCAATTGCGCGCGGGGTATTGGCGCACCTGGCCAAAGCAGAGCTCCAGAAGTGGGGTCACGGCGCGGAAGTGAAAGCGTGATGGCGAACATTGGGAGGTAGATCGACGCGAACACTCGTTCAACAAGATCCTTGAATTGCCGTGACACATGCCGTACGGCAGTCCAGAGGTGACTTGCTTCGTAAATGCTTGCTCGTTCGAGGATATGCAGCCATAATTCAACTGGTAAGATAGATGTGGGTGCGCACACTGCAAATAAAGTCCCAGCCTGATTAGACGTTTCGCTCGTCATTTTGCTTTGCTGTTGTTTAAGGACTTGTGCAGGAGGTATGATCAGCACCATATATCCACGATGCATCACTGTTGAGTCATCCGCGGTTTGCCTTACCCAACGCAGCACATGCTAGTGTTACTAGGCGCTGACACATGCACAAAGACGCGGAAAGGAGTTTCTACAGACAGGGAAAAATACATTCCATGTCCTATGTGAAGGTTGATGTGTCTGAGGGAAGGCTGATCTACTCCGCTTACAAGTAGCGGCATGTCTCGGCTGGCTCGTCCCCACCATGTGTCGCAAGTGAAAAGTTGGCAGTACCCGAAACACACGTGCCTGAGCAGTAGCCTGAGACAGCAACGTCTCGTCACCTTTAATGCGTCACAGGCCCATGAAGCCTAGGGCTTGGAATGTCATGCACATGCTAGCAGAACTGAGGCCCTCGTGCCTCGAGGTAAACTGGAGACCGCGTTTGTCATTACAACTTCAATAATTTTACATTTCATAACTGTAACTAAGCGCCAGAGAAGGAAATAGCGCCCTTAGAACCAGTCCAATGAAGCGCTCCGCTTCAATCTCCGTAGAGTGACCTTCGGTGCCCTTCTAGGGACAGAAGTACGTTCTATGTTAACTACAGTAATAGAAGTTGTCATCAAAAAGGAAAGCACCATTACCGCGTGTACCGCCTCAAACCCCAAGCCTCATCAGCCGTCTCATCCTTCTTGAGGCGTTCAAGCAACAAAGTCGCGGGCGGCGAAGCTGCGGCGGCCGAATCGTCCACGTCCGCGTCCACGACCGAAGCCACCGAAGCCGCCCTGGCCTCCCTGACCTCCTTGCTGACCTCCTTGTTGACCTCCTTGCTGGCCACCTTGCTGGCCACCTTGCTGACCACCTTGCTGACCGCCTTGTTGACCGTTGTTCTGACCGTTGTTCTGGCCGTTGTTCTGGCCGTTGTTTCCGCCATTGTTTCCGCCATTGTTGCCGCCACCGTTGCCCTGGCCGACAGTGAATCTCACACAGTCATCCTGGGGACCACGTTGAGCGACTGGCATGACAACAGGCTGATGGTTGCTAGCAGAGGTGATCGAGCAGGCACGGTAGTTACCAGCAGGAAGACCAGCATCAAGAGTAGCAGTGAGAAGACCGTTGCCATCGCCGGCGTCGTTGATACCCTTGAAGAAAGCAAAAGTCTGAGCGTCAGGAGGGTTGTTGGCATTGTTCCCCATATCCTGAACGGAAATATGTGTATGACCAACAACTTTACCTCCCTGAAGGGTCTGCGGGGCAGCGTAGTAGGTGTTGTCGGGGTTCGTGAAAGATCCCGCCTGCAAGTTGTTGATCTTCACCGAGAAGTCAATCTTCTGGTTCTCTTGCTTGACGTCGTTGTTCTTGGGATCAGTGAAGACCGCCGAGATCATTTGGCCGACAGCAGGGATATCTCCCATGACTATTTGTGATTAGTGACTGGGCTCACTGTTACGCTTGTTCAAAACTTACCAATACCGTTGCAGGAGCCTTCCTTAACTTGGAGACCATTGGTGAGGGTCTTGCCTTGACAGAAGTTGATGAAGTTGGCTTGGTCACTTACAAAGTTAGTAGAGAACTTGTAGATGAATCTGTGTGCCAACATACGTGAGAGACGCGGCTTGTCCGTCCTCTTGACCCTGGTCAAATCCGTCGGATTGACTGGCCTTCTGAACAACATCGGCGTTGAGGGCCAAACCACCACCATTACCACCGTTGTTACCACCGTTGTTGCCGCCGTTGTTGCCTCCGTTGTTGCCTCCGTTTTGACCGTTGTTGCCGCCGTTGTTCTGACCATTGTTGCCGCCATTTTGTCCATTCTGGCCGTTCTGGCCTTGACCACCACCTTGACCACCGAATTGGGCGTTGGCAACACCGGCCGCAAGCAGCAAAGGGACGAGGGTAGAGAAGCGCATGATGAATGCTCGAAGAACAGAAAGTAAGACTGGTAAAAAGAGTGGAGTCCGGCTAGCGGTGGATTACAAAAAGGCAGACACGTTCAACGTAATCTGAATGAATAATTAAGAGGAAGAGAAAGGAATGTAACCCTCAACTGCAGAACCGGAGTGTAATAGGACAAGCGACTGATTGATGGTGAGGACGCCAGATATCTTGGAGGAATCGCATTGCCTTAAGTCCTTGGCGACGTAGAAGGCAAAGAGTAACCTAGTAAGGCGGCTCGTGGTTCCTCGGGCATGAAACCCACGATGAAGGCAGAGACGTCTCAAATCCACTCATACCGGCATCTCTAAGGTCGCGCACGGGGCGCTGGCATCAACTGGCGCCCTACTATTGACTGAGGCTGTCATGGCAGCCTCTCCGGAACAAGAGTACGCCAGGCATTGAAGAGGAGGTCCGAGAAACGGTTCGTGTATGAGGTGTGCAAGAACCACGTTTGCGCTAACCCGAACAAGACACGCTAAGCACCTTCCAGGACGAAGCCAGGCATCCTCTAAATTTTGAGGAGGGCTTGCTCAAACTCCTATGATGCCTTGCCATGCGCCATACGACAACCGAATGCACGGCAGGAATGTGTGATTGATTCCGATAGCCGTTCGTCACCACCGCAACGCCAGCGGGGAGATTGGTTTACTTGCTGCGGCCCACTCTGTGACCCACGCCTCCCCCAGAGCCTCACTGGAATGTCGGAGGTGCTGAGCTACACAGACGCACAAGGCTAGTTTGTGCTGTCACTGTCTCGATTTTGACGGGCGTGACAGGTGTCGGCAGGACTACGGAGTAACAAGTACGATCCTGCGCCGTATCATTGCACGCACTTTGTTGGATGTCGTAATCAAGTTGCTCTTCTTGCGAAGACCTTCAATGACGGCAATCCTTCATCCGAGATCCATAACGATCGGATGTGCACGATGTTTGCTGTTTGGGATGTTATCGCTGCTTGCCAAGTCGTCTTACCACCCGGTCAAGACGACTTACCAGCTCCACTATGAACGCGGCGCCCAGGCGAGAAATCAGCACATTTCTCCACCCATTAGCAGAATTGTGTATACCCATTCTCGAAGATCTGCATCTTGCTCCATCGACTCTGCAAGCGAAGATACCCCTTTGGCCCACATTCAAAGACCGTGCTCCCGGCAAATCGGTCTGAGACAGCTCATGTCAAACCCCCGCTACGCGTTCGGTCCTCGAGCGTTGTCGAGGATTACGGAATCAGGATTTCCCTATGTAGTTCGGCGTTTGCGGGTCATTCGGCATGCCTGAGGCAAGACGTGTCTTCAGGCATAATGGATCTACATCTGTAACCAACACCCGCAGAAACTTCTCAGGTTGCATTTTCTCTAACGTGAACCCTCGATGTTGGGTTCTTTGATTAACAATTTGAAGCTCCCTTACACGCGTGCTTTCGGATCTATCATCTTCCATAGTCTCAGATGGTCAATCGGCCCTCCATTACCTGCACCGCGCCGCCTTCAAGAAACAGCTGCGATACAGCTCCGTCCTCGGTCATCTCGACTTCGATGAAGATCTCGCTTCTTCTGCCCATCTCTACGCCCTGAATAATTTCGTACTTGAGCGTCTTAGATTCTCTTCCTGCTGTCAACGAAAGATATGCTGCCAAATCGCTGGCGGCGCTACCAGTGGCCGGA